AATGAGTGTATACTCCACTGAATGTCCAAGTCAATGAGTGTATAACTCACTGAATGTCCAAGTCAATGAGTGTATGACTCACTGAATGCCCAAGTCAATGTATGTACAACCCACTGAATGTCCAAGTCAATGAGTGTATAATTCACTGAATGCCCCAGTAAATGAGTGTGTAACTCGCTGAATGCCCCAGTCAATGAGTGCATAACTTACTGAATGTCCAATTAAATGAGTGTATAACTCACTGAATACACAAATCAATAAGTGTATGACTCACTGAATGTCCAAGTCAATGAGTGTATAATCCACTGAATGTCCAAGTCAATGAGTGCATAACCCACTGAATGTCCAAGTCAATGAGTGTGTAACCCAATGAATGCCCAAGTCAATGAGTGTATAATCCACTGAATGTCCAAGTCAATGAGTGTATAACTCACTGAATGTCCAAGTCAATGAGTGTATAACCCACTGAATGTCCAAGTCAATGAGTGTGTAACCAACTGAATGTCAAAGTCAATGAGTGTATAACCCACTGAATGCCCAAGTCAATGAGTGTATAACTCACTGAATGTCCAAGTCAATGAGTGTATAACCCACTGAATGCCCAAGTCAATGTATGTACAACCCACTGAATGTCCAAGTCAATGAGTGTATAACTCACTGAATGTTCAAGTCAATGAGTGTATAACTCACTGAATGTCCAAGTCAATGAGTGTATAATCCACTGAATGTCCAAGTCAATGAGTGTAAAACTCACTGAGTGTCCAAGTCAATGAGTGTATAATCCAATGAATGTCCAAGTCAATGAGTGTATAATTCACTGAATGTCCAAGTCAATGAGTGTATAACTCACTGAATGTCCAAGTCAATGAGTGTATAACTCACTGAATGTCCAAGTCAATGAGTGTATAATCCACTGAATGTCCAAGTCAATGAGTGTGAAACTCACTGAGTGTCCAAGTCAATGAGTGTATAATCCACTGAATGTCCAAGTCAATGAGTGTATAATTCACTGAATGTCCAAGTCAATGAGTGTATAACTCACTGAATGTCCAAGTCAATGAGTGTATAATCCACTGAATGTCCAAATTCACATAGTTCATACCCACCATAGACTCCGGTCAGTCAAAATGACTATTTTGAACTGTAGGCATTAATCAGCGATTCTGCCGGTGACGGAGAGATAGAATCCAGGTCAGGGGAAGCCCCATGACCTCAAGATTCTTTTACCCCTTACGTCACGAACCCACGTGACCGAGGCCACATGGCAACGCCATAGGCAGCCGTCCATTACTCTTAATTTCTCTCCGCCTCGAGTGGAGATGAAATCTAGCGAGCTCTGCTGGATCGCCTGCTTTTTTTCCTGTCCGGATTTATAGCTTGGGTTGTTGCCGCTGCTCGGCATCCGACATGGTAGCTGGTAGGATAAGTTTTCCTTGTCTTTTTTTACCCTTGTGTCGTTTTCCCCTTTGTGTGTAGTATTTTTCACAGCAAAGAAATCAAAATCCGGCGCCACTACGTAGTCACATGTTGATTTCATGGCGGCACCTTTTACAACTGTAATTCATCTCCCTCATGCATGTCGTCTTTTATTTTTAATGTATTTAGCAATATATCGATGTAATGACAGCTCCAGGCTCGCTGCCTTTTTCTTCCGGTCTCTCGTCTTTCGAACCGACCGTA